TCAGGTGCAGGGTCTGCTGGCTGGGTGCTGGCAGGCTTGCACCTTGCACGGGCACCGTAGCCAGCCCATGCCCCTTTAAGGGGTCCGGGGCCGGGAGGGGGGCAATAGAGTTTCCCTGGTGTTGGCCAGAGTGGCCACCAGGGAAACCTGGGGAGGGCTAGCCTCCCACTAGTTCGAATTAAGGGGCTACACACCCCTTAATTCGAACTAGTAAGTTCGAACTATGCTTAATCCTTGTAAAATGAGGTTTTCCTAGTTCGAACTAAGCGCTCCGCTAGTTCGATTTAAATTCGAACTAACATTGTAGTGTAGACATACCCATAGAGAATATTCAGCTGACCAGTTGGACTGAAAACCCAGCAGAAGCTGTCAAATCTGACACAGTAAAAACACACAGCTGAGAAAAACATGAAATATTGCATTTTCCCTGAGTGGCACTTTCAGTCATAATGTAGGTCATATATTTTTGTAAAAGTAATATAAATTAGCCTTATAAAACTTCATATTTCTAAATTACACAATAAAATTTTGCTCCTTTCATGTTCAGAAAGATTTCACAAATTATCTTTTTTCTTATCTCCTTCTGGGGAATGTACATATATAAAAATAACTACCAGATGTCTTTTCTCACATTATTTTTCAAAAAACACCCCCATGCAGATAAACAGCAAACGAGTGAGCCAAGAGCTGTTCTCATTTCTAACTAACCATTTCCAAAAGTAATACAATAAGGATACATCAAAATCATGAAGAACTGTATGATAGGAATTCTTTTGAGCTTCTGGGTTGCTGTCTCGCCTGCTTTTTATTTTCATTCAGGAGAAAGAGAGGAGAAATGCATAATAGAAGATATTCCTGGTGATACCTTGATTACTGGTAGGTAGATATTACTATATGATGGTCAGTGTGTTCAATATTTAAAATGTTAACCTATGATGTTATAATATTGGCAACCTGATATATAATGCCAGAGCCCTTTGGCTGGTCCTGCTTAGGTGAATGAGTGGTGGTGATGGTGAGGAGAGGACAAAAAGCTTTTCCTTCTTTATTCCTGAAGCAAGGGCCAGTCACAATATGGCAATGCACTTTTACCACTGCTCAGTGCTAGCCATGCAAGTGCTAAAGCTGTTTCGTGTGCTGCATGATGCGTACTAATATAAGAGGATTGAATGTTTCTGAATCTAAACTGGCTCTTTATTAAGAGGATTAATTTCAGAATTGCTGTGACAGCAGCCAGCATTCAAGCCACGTACACACAAAATGGCTTCCTGATGCCTCTTCCAAACTCTTTAGCTCTCTCTCCTGTGCTTGTCCCTCCAAGTTCCATGCAGGTTGCTACAAGAGTCCTCTGTGTTGACCAGAAGTGCTGGCTGAGTTATGGCCAAGTCTACACTAAAGAGAATGTCAAATCAAGATACACAACTCCAGCTACGTTAATGACATAGCTGGACTCAACAATGTACTTTGTTTCTAGTTTCCCCGCCATCCCCACATAAGGAGGCTTATGGGAGCTGAGGCTGATTAGAGCCAAGGTTCCCATCGGCTTTCCTTACTCTTCACAGAAGCAAGAGTACCAGATGTTGATGAGGGCACCCTCTGAGTTTGATTTAACGAGTCTTAACTGGAGTAAATCAAACTCCAGAAGATTGATCATGGCAGCGTTGTTCTTCCATTTAGTGAAGACATTGCCTTAGATGGAAAGCACACAAGGCACCTGGCAGTGTTGGACATGCCACTGTAGTAAGTGTTTCCTAAGAGGAATTCTGGTTAAGCCTACCATTACTTCCAGGTATCCCATTACAGCTGTGGTTCTCAACTGGTGGTCCATGGTGACTTTTTCCGTGGTCCACAGGAACATTGTCCAAAGTCACAAAGCATGAGCAGGCACTACTTTTAGGCTGTTTTACACTGTGTTCACAAGCACGCGGCGTGTCATCCATAGAGTCACCTGCAGGAGGAATTCTTAGATCTGAAAAATGATTTTGCGGCTCAAGATGTGTACCAGCAGTCTACCATAGAGAAATTTTGGGCCAGCGTGACCGGGAGTTACCCAAATCTGTCAGCACACACAGTCAGATTTCTTTTGCCATTTGCATCAACTTATATGTCTGAGACTGGATTTTTGTGTTTGTTGCACGTTATGTCCAAACAGAGGAATCGGCTTGCAGTGGAAAGAGATATTCGTTGTGCATTATCAAGTATCACTCCAAACATTGAAAAGCTTGTCAGTGAGAAGAGAATCCAAAAATCTGTTAGTAAGAAATAAATTTCAAACCAAAATGTTCATTGTCTGCTCGGGTATGTCTACACTACAAAGTTAATTCGAACTAACAGCCGTTAGTTCGAATTAACTTTCATAGCGTCTATACATGCAAACTGCTAGTTCGAACTTAATTCGAACTAGCGGAGTGCTTAATTCGAACTAGGCAAATCTCATTTTACGAGGACTAACGACTAACTAAGTAGTTCGAATTAAGGGCTGTGTAGCCACTTAATTCGAACTATTTGGAGGCTAGCCCTACTCAGCTTGACCTGGTGGCCACTCTGGGCACAACCAGGGAAACTTTTCTGCCCCCCTCCTGGCCCCGGAGCCCTTAAAGGGGAACGGTCTGGCTACGGTGCTTGTGCCAGTTGCAAGCCTGCCAGCACCCAGCCAGCAGACCCTGCACCTG